TTGCCTTTGTATTGGAAGAATAGTTTCCTTATTCCGGTTCACAAACATGGAAACAGACAACTTGTTGACAACTATAGAGGCATTGAGAAGTAGGGTGTCTTGCTAAAATTGTTTGAGAGAACTGTTACTGAGCATTTAGCTTTTGGTTTCAAATCTTATATTTCTTCGTTGAATGTTTTTTTTAATGGCACTACTGTTACGAATCTCTTAGAGTTTATTTACCATGTTTTCAAGGCCTTTTCTAATGGCTCTCGCATGGATGTCGCATGTACTGATTGCAGTAAAGCGTTCAGGCATCTTCCTTCCCTTTGTACTTAGTGAAATGGATAAGCTCTACATAAAAGATCATACAGGATTATGTTTAATTTCATCACCTCGGATATGTTTTCCGTGACGTCCGGCATCCACTTAGGATCCTCTTTATTTAATAGATGCATTAACGACCTCCCCTCGGCGATTGAAACTAACCATACGTTAATGCACTCTGATGATGTTCCTTCTCCCTGGAATCGCAAACGTATCAGCTTCAAATTGACTTAAACAATTTGGTTATATAGAGCTGGTTAAATTTTATGAAATTAAAGCTAAAAAAATGCAAGAAACTTTTTTTCTCAAGGAAGAAGTCATTCAATACTGAGTATTTCATCGATTCACACAAGTTGGAATATGTAGATTCGTTCATCCATTTGGGGACTGCATTCGACCAAAGATTATGTTTTGATTTACTCATTGAGCTGTCTTTAAGTAAAGCTAGGCCCGCGCTAGGTTGCATTAAGAGCTTAACGACCCTTACATTATAAAAGACCCATACATGTGCTTAGTTAGATCAATACTTCAGTGTGCCTCTGTTATGTTGTCTCCTTCCTATAGGTGTTACGTAGATTCAATTGACAAAAAAGCAATTTTTGCTAATTGCCCTTAGAAATTTGCCTTGAGACCCGATTGTCTCTCTGCCTCCTTATGAAAATAGGTTGCTTTTGTTCCTTATCATCACTTGAGAAACGTGGATCTATCCTTGGTGTCTCCATCTTATTTAAGTTAATAAACAGTACTATCGACTCTCTCACATTCCTCGGTGAGATACATTTTAATGTCCCTAATCGCTCCTCTAGGCACTTCATCTTCACTAAGCTTAATCTATGTAAATATAATTGTGAACTGTTTAATGCTTCCAGAGTTATTTGCAGAAACCTAAACGATGTCTATCACTTAATCCGGACAATATCGGACTCCTTAAAGTCTGTCAAAACAATTATGCTTAATACTCGCGATTTGCCTACGTCTTATTTAAAGTAACTTGCAATCTTAACATCTCACTATGATTGTGTTGTTTGCTGTTATCAGTTACGACGTTGTTGCATGGTCGCAATGGATCAGCGTTTGATTTACAGCTTGGGTCTGTATTGTTTGTGGACGTACTTCTGTGCTAGTTGTGTACATGCTTTTTTCTTTATTCTCTTCTTCTTTTTTTCTTTATTATTTTTTTTTTTTACTATAAGACTTACTTCTGAGAGTAACTTGAATTCGGCTGTTAATCTATTGTAGCCACCTCTGTAAAAGGGTTTTTTTGTTTTTTTCCATAATGTATGTAACACCCAAAAGGAAATTTCAGAGACTCTTTGAAGTATATATATATTCTTGATCAGCGTGAAATTCTGAATTGGTTTATCCATTTGTGGTCGTCAGTGTGTCTGTGAGTTGTTTATTGTTGTTTATTGGCACAGTCCTCATCGCAAAATACTGACTTAAAATTTGGTGGAAATATTGGAAGTCTTTGCACACAGGTTGGTATTGAAATGGCCCAAATTGACGAGGGCAGAAGCCCGCAGTGAAGCGTAAATTGGACGTAGCTCCGTTGTTCCTAAAAAAGGGTTGTGGGTTTTTGGTCGTTTTTCAGAAATTATAAGAGTTAGAAAGAAGGCTGAAATTTTCTACATATACTTTGCAGAACACTTTACTCTTTTTGTGCGAAAATGGCGAAAATCGGCCACGTCCACACAAGATTACAAGCTATTAAGCGATATTTTTTACACTTTTTTGAGGTTTTGCGCTTATTTATCGTAACGCAAACAAGGCAGAATGTTTACAGTCATTTTATACATTCCTCAAATGATCTGCTTAAAAATGAGTTGATTCTAAAATGAATATGGTAGACACTGCGATCTGGTGGATTAATTTTTTCTTAATAATACCGGCGATATGGGTGTCAACGATACTTATATACGCGAACTAAACTTATAAAATGTTAGCAATTATTTGGAGGCGAATTTAGTGACAGATCCTCTATCGGTGGACACATGGTTGAATGTTACAAATTTTACTCAATTAATGGACGAGCTGGTGCAGGCTTACCCTGCGATAGTTATTCCAGGGTAAGCCATCACTCATTGGAACGATTTTTCTACAAGATGGCACACGGCACCAGAAGAAGGACGGGGTCGTCAGAGGAAATTGTCGCGTTGATAGAAAAACTCATTAATGTCCAAGTGTCGAAGTAGGCAAGCGGCTTCAGAACGGATGATGACTACTACGTCATCGACCACATGGACTACAAAGTTGGAGTCCAGACCGAAGAAAAGTACACACAGGCCAGATGAGCAATAAAGAAGAAAACTACCTGCAGCTGTCCACAGTATACAGAAATGCGCGATACATCAGGGAGCAGCTAGGATGCTAGGAATGTCTGCGTGACCTAACAATGGAAGAAGATGAGATTTGCGAAGAGGTGAGCGGTCAACTAGTTACAAAGAACTCGAAGGACCAGCGAATACTTGAAGTTGGAATTTGCGACACGATACGCGGTTATGCGCCAGCATATGGTGGAACAGTACATCGACAAACATGTACAGGCAACTGTGGTGGCAAGGCTTGCCGTCTTCAGGGAAGCAGGCTCCTACAGTATCGGCGAAAGCCATAGAATCAACTTGCTGGGATATATATTGTTTGTACTCTTAACAGGGAAAAGCTGGAAGGAGCCATTGGATAAAAACGTTTCCTCATTCTAAGATTGCTTATTTATTTATTCTGTTTTAGTTGAGGTTAAAAAGGAATGATGCGCCGCCGCCCACCACGTCATACACATGAAGATTAGTTACACGCCAGTGATAAGTTTGTGCTCATTTTTATATATAAAATTCAGTAATCACAATAATTTTCTTTTTCAGATATCAAAGCAACGCCCAACTCACCGTCAAGGGGCTTACCTCCATATATTTATTTGGTTTATCTTATCTTATGCCATATTATACGCATTTAAATAATGTAATTATATTACATTACGTTACAGATAAGCGGGGCTTCATTTATTATTGTAAATATTATTATAGTTTTCAATTAAGTTTATGATGATGTAGGCCTCCAGGGGAGCCAGCCATCCAAAACAATTCGCAGCGCGCCTATCACGGTACCTCAAGGGCGGTGTGGAAAACCGTGTGAAGAATTATATGAAACTAACTAATGTCAGTGGTAATACACTTAATGTTACTTATTATAAACTACTTCGTTGTCGTTTTTTAGCGTCATTTTCAGAAACAGTAAATTTGTTAAAAACACATTTTTCACTTCAGGATTGGCATATAACCTAGGTGAGAAAGGCCCGTTGAGGAAATCCTTTGTGAATTGTGAAAACACGCCAATAAAAAATTAAATTAATTACGAAAATTCGGCGACTGCATTCACAGCAATCACCTACAATTAATTGAATATCAGTCGAGGTTCAAAGTTACAAATTTGGCTGAACAAAAAACGATTTAGATATGATTCCGCTGTTGTTGCCAACTTCTTTGATGATTTAAGTAATTTATCATCAATGAATCCATTAAGGTAACGCAAAATTGCTCGGTAGACAGTTGTATCTGTTGATGGCTTACATTGATAGCATATCTTGAGTTCCATGTGCAGCTATTCACCGTCTGAAATATATTATGTTTTCAGTTGTCCAGCAAATTTTGAGCCCTCAAAATATTTACTTTTTTCCTCTTATTAGCAAATGCTCATACGTTTGGAATATTTATATTTAGTTATAAAACCATTGTTAGATGAAGAATTTCAGAACATTTAACTTACTCTAAGGGATCTACTTCGTACTTGGCACATCTATTTTTGTGAAATTGTTTCGTCTTTGTACCTGTGTTTATTATTTGAAATTACTGAGAACATATACGCACGCTTATTCTCGCATCAATGGCTTTTTTACAAAGACCTGTTGAATTATTGAGAACGAATATGCGCTTATTCCTTAAAGTGGTACAATACATGCAAAATTATACTTGGATAGTAGAACTTGGATAGTGGAATTCAAAAAATATAGTGGTGGATATGCGAAATTTGGCCTCCGCCGAATATAACTTTCTTACTTGTTTTAGTTGAGTTTTATGTGTAAATAAATAAATAAATTCGTTATAACACAAAATTTTTTACTTTTTCTTGACGTATAAATTCGTCGTACATAATTAACTGGCAAGTCCTTCCAGGTGTTACATACATTCGGGCGAAGTGAACATATCCCGTACACTAAATAGTATAGAGTATAATTCTTCTTCTGGAAAATACGCGAACTAAACTTATTTAATTTTACAAATCATTCGCCTGAGTGGCAAGAGTCTCGATTTTCAACTCAATGTCGTGGGTTAGCCTAAAAGTAGACTGTCGTAATTTTTATTATTAAATTAAACAAAGCAGCAGCTAAATAATCTGTTAAAAAGGCAAAGCAGTAGTGGAATAATCTGTTAAATTGCAAAGCCGCCGGCATTTATATCTGTTAAATTAAAAAAAAGTGAAAAGACAAAAAAAAAATTTAAAAGCTCTGTTAACATGACAAATCAATGCAAAAAAATATGTATCAAACCTCTACAAACAAAAAAATTGACAATTTGATAAAACAAACAGTAGCAACAGTAAAGTAATAAATAAAGCTTATACATATATATATATATATACAAAAACAAGTATATCAATTGTTATTCAGTTTTTACAACAAATGCAACAACAAACGCAACAACGCTTTTTTTTCTGCTATTGGATTGCGCCGGCCCATAGCAATACCCGAGTCATGATCGTCTTCCAAAGTGGCAGCGTTTAATTGTTTTTGTACGGTCGTAGTAGTCGCTGCACTTGCTGGCAATTGACTGCAGTGTGCATCTTCTATATACAGATTTATTTTAGAATTATTTTTAGTTTTCACTTCGTTCTCTTTAATCGGTGAAGGTTTTGGTTTGGCGTTTTGTTGAACGAGTTCTTTGCTATGAGCGCCAAAAGGTGGTGTTTCTGGATACATGTAATGGGGTAATTTGGTGGGATGTATAGGCACTTCTGGGACATTTTCTCGTTCGAAGCGATGCGCTGAATGCTGCACTAAAGGGTGACTGGTTTCGGTTTCTCCCCGTGATTTTAATTGTTTATTTTTCGCAATGTCTTCCTTAAGCAAACGATTGCCTTTGGATGGTGATTTTCTAGGCGTAGGTTCAGGTTTGAATTTCCCTTCATGTTGTACGCTTTCTACATGCTTAATATGTAAACGTGTCTTGCTAAGTTTCTTTTCACCCAGTGCTTTCTTTCTAATTGGTTGTTGTGGTGGTTTTTTAGAATTTTCCGCAGCTAAAGGCGGTTTCTTTTTATCATAATACCAATTCATGTATTTAGAGTTCTTGCCAGCTCTTGTTCTGCTAAAAGCTGCTTCGTCGTTGTCGTAATATGAGTACGTCTTAAGCCCGATAGCCGCCACTTATCCTTTTCCATTTCCTGGTAATTTTTTGTTTACAACTGTTTAAGACTTATAAGATAGCTAATTGCGCAACAAATGAATAATTCGGCTTGCGATTAAATTGTTGTGTATAAATAGAAAGTAATTCGGCTTGCGATTAAAATAATTCGGCTTGCGATTAAATTGTTGAGTATAAATAGAAAGTAATTCGGCTTGCGATTAAAATAATTCGGCTTGCGATTAAATTGTTGAGTATAAATATTAATTTTCTAGCACATCACGAAGAAAGTTTTCCATTTTCAGCAATAATATACGTCCAAGCCAAAATCTGCCATCTTTGTTTCCCTTGCCACCAAAAAGGAAAAATTAATAACTGCATTCTTATGCGGAATGAAAAAGCTATAACGATATAAGTATTTCAATAGCAAAAAGATACAAGAAACCTTTTTTTAACCAAGGATAAGAAAAACACAACCAAATGTCATTAATTAAATAAAATGTGCAAATAAATAAAATAGCAAAACTAATTTAAACTTGCATGGAGTTAAAGAGCCTTGAAGCATATGTGTACATAGGTTATTTTATATGTTATGTAAATATAATAAATAAAATATATAAAAAAATCATTTCTCGCTTCTTTAGTATATATTATCCGGCCAATTAGTATTTATAGCGATAGATGGCCACACCAGCAACGCCGATGACTCCAATAAGAAAAAAGCATAAGAAATCAAGACAAACATTTGGACTCTTCTTCGGTAAATATACAGCAATATCGTTCTGTAAGTTAACAGATGTATATAAAAGAAGTTGGAAAAGCTGCCGATCGACAATATTGAGGTTCCACCAGCTTTCTGTTGCTACTGCTATATTTTGTCCAACCATAAGGGAGCAAAAAAGTGAACCACAACGAACACTAATTTCATTTAAACGTTGAAGTATTTGAGCGTTATCGTTTGAAAGAACACAATAAGAAAAGTTTAATAACTGATTTGTACAAAATTCTAAGGCTGAATCAATAATTGGTAGATAATGTTTTGATTCCTTCTTTAGGCGTTCCAATAACGCGCTATTGGACAACTCATCTCGACTTACAAATAGAGAAAATGCTCCAGCGCAAATAGAATTTACAACAGAAATCGTATTATTGGAAATCGAAATCATTT